CTATTCGCCCAGGTCAGACCATCAAAGCTCAAGAAGTCCTCGGTGTTGTGTACCTGAGGCTACAACCCTTCCAAATTCATACTCCACTGACACTGTCTGACTTTAAATACCTGAAACAAATTTACTGAAAACTGTAGTAGCATAAATACTTATAAAACCAAATAATCTAAAACTAATGCCAAAGGCAGCTCATCATACTGGACCATTGTATTTTCAGATGTTGATCACATACTATAGAGGGCTCTTCATGCATGGATCTACAAGCTAATGGAGTTTCTCTGTCCACATCAGTGGTAAAGTGTTGACTGGGACTTCCCAAATAATGTCTTTAGTGTGTTTGTGTTTGTGATTTATGAATCCAATAAAAAGAATGACTTAATATCTGATCCAAAACAAACTCCTGAGGTCTACCAAGAAAGGAAGCGATCTGTGACCTGTGGGCACACCAGTAAGGAGAGAGAATACATGTCTGGGTAGGCTCCAAGGGCAGAATGGGAGAGAGTGGAGGAACAAGCTTCCAGGCTTCAGTGCACAACTCTTGCTGCCAGTGAAAACATGCAATGCAACACTTCTTTTCTATTTCTGAAGACATCTCAAAGTCTACAGTTCACATGTGCAGATGTGTTGAGAGCATACACGTGATCCTACTGTAACACTCAGCAAATGCTTTAGAATGGAGATAGGTTTAAGAGATGAAAAGCTTATAGTATACAGGCCATGGGGGGATATGTTATGGCTTAAGTGTGACTTCAAAAGCTCATATACTAGAAGCTTAATTTCCAAATTCATATGCTAATGGTATTTGGAGGTAGGGACTTTGGCTTCTCTAGTTGCTGTGGTAACATTCCTGACAGAAGCAATTGAAGAAAGCAAGATGGTTGGTTTTGACTGTCAACTTGACACACTAGAGAGTCACCAAGAAGGGAGTTTGCACATGGGATGACCTTGATGAGACTGGCTCATGGAAATGTCTGTTGGGGTGGATTACTATAGTGGGTAGCCATTCCAGCTTTGATCTGGAAGTTCCACCCCCCCATTGAGGCTTCAACAACTGTCACGCCTATAAGGCGGGGCCAAGGGAGGCGCCTGGAGACCGAGATCTGGATGGGCCAGTGCTCTCTCTGTTCCTGGACCCTAGACGGTGGAGGTTGACCGAGCAGAGCTCCAGAGAACACCGCTGGACTTCGATACACCTTCCCCAGACCCCACAACCTACCTTTCCCTTTTTTGTAAGTTACCCACTAAATAAATCTTCCTTTTAACTACGTGGAGTGGCCATAATAATTTCACCAATAGACTACTTTATGTTAATTAAGGTGGGATGACTTCCCCACTGTGGATAGAATACCAGAAAAAGATTTTTTTGAACTACATAAGAGTGAGGGGGAAATCCAGCTGAGCACTAGCATGCATTATTTCACTGCTTTCTGCTCTTGACTGGGGACATGCGACTGCTGCTTCAAGTTCCTGTAGCCTTGACTTCCACACAATGAAGGGCAGTACCCTGAAATTATGAGCCAGACGAAACTTTCTTCCTTAAACTGCTTTAGTCAGGGTATTTTAATTTTATCATAGCAACAGGAAATTAAACAACAGGATTTATTTTAGCTCACAATTTGAGGGTATACAGTCTATCGTGACAGGGAAGGCATGGAGACAGGGGTCTGGGATGGCTCGTACATCACATCAGCAGTCAGAAAGAGAGAGAGGAACATTGTTACTCAGCCAGCCTGCTCCTTTGTTCCTCTAAGTCCACGGGACAATCCCAAATCCAGTTAGGCTGCCAGTGAAGATTATCGCTGGAGGCTCATGTTTTAGTGTCGAGGAAAACAACTATGTGATCTTTCAAGCTGATGAGCACATAGATCTAAATCCAAACTCTTGTTGAAGGTGAGATAATCTTGAAAGTATCCCTGAGATGCTGGGACACTGCTCTTTGCTCTCCTGGCTCACTTCAGCCAGTCCTTTCCACTTCTGCATTTGCAGATCCAACCAACCAAAGATCAAACATGTCTGATAAAGTTGCATCTGTACCAGACATGAGCAGATGGTTTCTCTCATCCTTCCCCAACATAATATAGTAGTATGACATCCGAAGAGCATTCACATTGTATCATGTTATAAGTAATCTAGAGATGACTTAAAATACATAGGAGGGGACAGGCAGATGGCTCAGCAGGTATAGCCCCTGGTCCACAAGCATGCTTGGAGTTCAGATTCCCAGTATCCAAGTAAATGCTGGGCGGGATGACAGCCTGTCTGTGACTTTACTGCCTGGAAGGCTGGCTAGCTAGTCTACTAGACGACACAGTAAGCTCCAGGTTCAGTTGAGAAACCCTGCCTCTGTGATAGAGGAAGACTTGAGCTGACAGTCCTGGGCCTGTGTGCACACTTGCCCACACATGGGCACCCATACATACACAAACATGTACAAATATACAAATATAGAGAAATAAAAATATATGGGGGGGATATGCACAGGCTTATGTGCAAATACAATGTCACTTGATGGAATGTGAGCATCCACAGATCTTGGTATCCTGGAGGTAGGTCCTGGAACTAGTTCCCATGGATACTTACAGCCATGGCAACAAAGACAACTGCTGCTGTAAAGTGATGACCACCACAGCTGCTCACCTAACCCACTGGTTTTTGGGAAAGGTCCCAAAGATGAAACACTGGCGGAAAGGGTATGCACCCAGGATACCAACAGGCAACCCTTGGTCATTAGAGAACCTGCCAGTGAAATGTGACAAGTGATGAGCTGCAAGAGCAGACTAAAGGTCAGTCAGAGCCTGTGACCTTTCAGGAAATGCCACATCCTTCTCACAGAGGACTTCATCCGCCTGAGGTTTTAAATGACACATGTACAACAAATCCCACCACTTTATCTTGAAATCTGTTTTAAGCAATTCATAAACATAATGGGCTTATGATGGTTTACAGAAATGTGCTCAGGAATAGAGCTGAGGACAATCTGTGAATATATAAATAGCCAACTGCTTAAATAGGCTGGTGGCACCCCGAGGAAGAACAGGCAGGAATCCAGATCTGCATGCATTGATGCCCACGGACACCACACAGAACTGCCTCCCTCATAATACCACAGCCAGACTCGTGATGAAGACAGTGCTCTCTCTGATACTCCTGCAAGGAAAGCCTGGGCTCTGGGTACCAACGAGAACTGGGAAGGAGTACTCACAGCACTGGATTCTGTTACCTCCCAGCCGCTTGTATCTGCTGGTCAGAATATAAAAGGATAAGAATGAGCAGGTAAAGATGTTTGCTGGAGAAGCCTGGCAACCGGAGCTTGATCCTTGGACCCCAGAGAAAGGTGGAAGGAGAGAATGGACCCCACAGAGCTATCCTCTGGCAGCCACATGCACATCATGGCATGTGGACAACTCTCACACTAATAGGAAAAGTGTAGCCACAGAGCTATGAATGAACTCGGGCTCACGTGGAAGAGGATCTCTGATCTGGATAAGCAAACTGTCTCTGTGAGTGCCCAAGATTGAAGACGCTTCCCTAATAGGGTTTAAGGAATATCAAGTATGGTCTGCAAATCCCTGAGCAAAATGCCTGGAACTTCAAGTGTTCCAGATTTCAGAATTTTAGCTCTGGGATTATTTAGATAGATTTTATTGGTTGGGTATCCTTAATCCAAAGTATCTCACATCTGAGACTATCTGAGCACACGAAACCATTTCAGAACATTTTGGATGCTAGGTGCTCACAGCTTGTAATATACCCACTGTTTGCAACCTATACACACGGGGTCACTTTTCTCTTGCTGTGATAAAATAACCATGACCAAAAGCCACTTAAGGAAGAAAGGGTACACTTTACCTTCTGGTTTGGGTGGGGGGAAAGTGAGCAAGCTACAGACCCCCAAAACTGGCTCCCAAGGGCATACTTCTTTTAGCAAGACTCTGCCTGCTAAGGGTTCCAGAACCTCTCCATCAGCACCAACCAGGGACCACGGGTTTAAATACATGAAATCTCTGGGGCCGTTTTTCATTCAAACCACAACACTTGGAAATTTAAAAATAAATGAACTCTAGCTGTTTCGAAGACCCAAGAGATGTCTCTGCAGTGAGAAGGGAAAAGTCTGTGCTAACAGTGGACATGAAGAAGCCCAAATCAGCCACCAAATCAACGTCACTTATGCGCATATGGAGAATGTCACACAGAAAATGGAATAGAATCCAGAGAGCCAATCAGATGCAGAGAATCTGGATACAGACTAAGGTACGAGAGAAGCAGACCTGGTAGTTGTGAAGCGGAACGGAACATGGGGATCAGGACTGTCTCCACTTGTGAGGGCACTGGCCCAGTTCTGTTATTCCGAATACTTATGAATACAACCACAGGTGCATAACTTCATTCTAGAAACGAGCTTGTATTTTAGTAATTTGTATAGAGAAGGTTTTGGTCCATCAAAATAAATAAATAAACGAAGCCAAGCCCTTGGGATCACTTCTTCCCCTTTGGCGGAACTTATAACGCACCCTGGCCAATAGGGCTTTTACCCCAAGTCCTACATGCTTGGGCATCTTGATTTCTACACTAGCCAGCCACTGCTTACAACAGCCGGTGGATTCTGGTAGCCGGAGGGCAGCCACTTGAGTCATGGTCTCTACTTAAACTGGGACAATCTGATGTAGTTTTGATGACAGGGACCAGGGGCAAGTCTAACAAACTGGTCTTAAATGATTTTCTTTGTGGGAAGTCTACTTTTATAACGGTGATTTTTTTTTTTCCAGGAGGTTGCCCTGTTTGGACTGCTTTACAGTTAACCCTTTTATGAAACATTTTGTCCTCTTAGTGATTATATACTTACTGTGCTCTAGCTTCCAAATAAATAATGTTTGTACTTTGTATGGAGACCAGGTCAGCAGGGTCATTCTCATCCTGTTTCCTAATTCCTTCTTCTTTTTTTGTGTTTTCTAATTTCTCACTGCCCTAAATAACTTCAAGAAGAAAACAGCCCGGGCCAGTTAGGAGTTACTAAACCACATTTTAATCAATAAATAGGAACATTTGTTAACCACTTATTAGGTGGAAAAAATAGGAATGCCTAACAAATTCCAAAGAAAACACCTTGAAAAGAAAGTGCTAAGATTTTTGCCCTAAGCTTTGTAGAATCAGAGGTAACAAAAAATTATTCAGAAAAAAAATCTTGGAATAACTGAAAGAATTCCAGATGTATTTGAAATACAAAAACATTACTTGGCACATGAGGTGGAAACATTGTTTTTTAGCACCTGTGTGGATGATCTGACAAAGCAGTGAACAGATGAACAGCTGCCTACAAGAGACTTAGTTATTTAAGTTCACATTATGGGCCAAGCTCACAGCCCCACTCCCCGGCTCAATGGGCCCTGCTCTGTTCTGTAGCAAGGGCACTCAGGGGCCTCACTGGCGGCTTCCAGGGCCTTGGACTGGTGAGGTGCTGGTGAAGGACATGAGAAGAGGCCTGGGGATGTCTTGGTGTCTGACTCAGCTCTGGCTTGGTTTCCATCTCGGACAGTGGCTTTGTCCTTGGCTGGGCTCCATTTACCACAACCCTCCATGGTCTCTGCTTCGAGGAGGCAGCGCGACCACAGTACTTACTGATGAACAGGGAACCAACTTCCTCTCACAGCCTCGCAGTCACACAGGGGGTAAACAGATTTCTACTGCTCGGCTCTTTTCCTTAATTACCCGCGTAAGTGAGTTCCCTGTATTGACGTTTCTCCACTGAAGCACCTTAGAAGGGCTTGTTTTCTGGATTAGGTCCTGTGTCTAGAATACTCACTGTTTTCTCACTTCCCTGGGAAGGCCTGCAAATGAATCTGTCCTAAGTCAATGAAAACAGCCCCTCTACACAACAGCCACCTTTCCAGGAGAGGCCAACGAGTATCTCAGCTGTATTTGTTTGTCAAGAACTGGAATCCTCTTTGCCTAGTTCAACTAAGACTTTGATTTTCCATTATTGCCACCACCAATGAGTCTTGTTCAGAGGTCATTTTCATAGCCTGCACTCAATGTGATGACCAGGTAAAAGAAATATGAACAGGAAATTAACCTTAAAAGGAAAGTATGAAGTCATCAATGAACAAAATTACAAAATTATTAAAAAAAAAAAAAAAGAAGTCTAGAAACCCAGAATATCAGACATTACCAGGAAACTTCCTTCCTGTTGAATCAATATACTTCCTTAAAATAAAATCTCTTAATTTAACATTTCTGGATATTTTGAGAGCATCAAAATGATAAACATAACAATTGGACTCATCAATGAGTGACTGTAGGTTCTCAGCTGGAAGGGACGGTCACCGGCCGAAGTAGAGCTCTTTGGTGAGCATGGAGACCATGCAAGGGATCTGCTTCTTCTCATTGAAGCGGGCATCTTCAGACTGGGACTCGAAGTGCCTGGCCACCCTGTCATTCACCCTGGTCAGGATCTGCATGATCTCCAGGTCTTTGCCATGCTCGTTCAGGATGGAGCAGAGAGCCTGCACAAACCAGGAGCCTTTTCCTGGGTTCCTCCATGAGTAATAGCCTTCAGCCAGAGACGGAAGGGAAGGGGGGGAGAGAGAGAGAGAGAGAGAGAGAGAGAGAGAGAGAGAGAGAGAG